ATAAATTGGCTACATTTTCCATTGCGGGCCCCTTCCTACACAAAATGCCTCGCTGTATGGACCTAATTTCATTAAGATATTGGTACAACACAGATTTATTTTTTCAGATTTAACCTGTGTTCCTTTCTTAATGTATTTTTTTTTTACAATACATTTACAATTATGTTAATTAAAACACACTATTTCATTATTTCGAGTTACTTTAACTAGCTTTCTTACATTAAAGTAGCTGAAGCAAGGAATCATTTTTTTAGAGTATATGTACAGAGAATATTTCATAATAAGCTTTCAGACTGTTTTACTCTTTAAACTATTATTTTCAGTGTAATTCATTATATTACATCAACTATCATGTGATGATAAAGAGTTGCCCTTGGAACAACTGACCCCAAGGGTAGCAACTCTGTTATGTAAACTCCCAGCCCAACAACAAGACTCTGTAAATATCTTAGCTAATTTTTCAGTTTACTTCAAGCAGTTCAGTTCTGCAATCGTATTTGCGGATTCTACAAACATTTATCATAACAGACGTCTTTCAATATGACCAGCAATATGGCACCAGGGGACCCCGATTTTGCTCTGAGTCAGAAAATAAAAAAGGGTATGTAATCAGCAATTGGTTCATTTAATATGTAATCCTTATAGTACTCATCAACGTACACCTATGTAGATGCCATAATTGAATGCCTAAAAATAGTTCTTACTGTTGCGATTGTGTCTGACTGATTGTTCTGCAATTCAGCGAAGTTTAGGTAACATAGTAGGTGAGGTTGAATAAAGATAAGGGTCCATCCAGTTCAACCTATGTGTGTGTGTGTGTGACTGTATGTATATGGCTCTAACACTTCTCATATCCCTGAATATTAAGTGAAAGGAGAAACTCATCAAGAAGTTTCTTGAATTTATCAACAACACTATCAGCGCATACCACTGCCTGTGGAAGGGAATTCCACAACTTTAATACTCTCACAGAAAAAAACCCTTTACGCATTCTAAGATTGAACCCCCTTTCTTCTAACCTCTTGTTATGTCCTCGTGTTCTCAGTACAGTTTACCTTATAAACAACTTGTTCCAAATACTGTGATCCCCACTGATGATTTTGGAGACTGCAATAAGGTCGCCTCTTTTCTAAGGAGAATAAGTTTAATTTTTGAAGGCCGTCTTCATACCTCAGGCCTTCTGTTCCTTTAATTAATTTTGTAGCCCTTCTCTGAACTATGTCAAGCTCGGGGACATCTTTCCTGAAAGTTGGGACCAAAACTGCACCACATACCCAAGATGAGGCCAAATCAGTGATTTATACAGTGGAAGTATTACTCTTTTATCCCTTACTACAATCCCTCTTCTAATGCATCCTGTTTCCTTTTCTGGCTGCTGATTGGCATTGCATACTATTACCAAATCTGTGATGTATGAGCACCCCAGGTCTTGTAGCCCATGCCTCAATTTTTATCTAGGTCCCGTTGACGTGGAAATATCCCCTGTTCAGGTAGTTGGGTACTTTCATAGATTTCATTGATCTTTTGACTGATATTGAGTTTAAAAGGTTTGTTTTGATTAGTGACCTTCTGCTATTAATTCCTGAAAATCCATTTTAAAAATATATATATAAACGTTCACCAAAGCTCCAAGATAAACCACACACTGGAAAGTCCACAGGAATTCTTGTGATACATGAGAGATCATTGAGAATATTTTATCACAATATAATAGATTTTGATAGAAATCTGATTAAAAATTGATTGAATATTGATCACCTGTGCATGTTAGTGAAGTACAACTGACCTAAATGTACCTAAATCAATTATCAAACCATGACTGCATACATGGGAAAATTAGGGGTTTCTTGCATCTCTTGTTTATTATATGAGTTATAATGACCTGGAAGGGAAACTTGTGTATCTCACGACAGGTGCTCAAGATTGGCAGATTTGGCTATGGATGGTTTAATCTATCTTATAACTGGTATTTAAAAGAGTATCTTAAAGGGCAGCTCCACATGTAAAAAGAATTTTGGATAAGTACATAATGGAACCAGAACAGTGGAATATATATATTTGTAAAACTTACAGGTCTCCCCCAGCCTGGGAGTGGACAGCAAAATCCAGGTACTTACTGCTGGCAATAAAAAATAATTGAATGATGTGTTAATGAATACAGAACTACATTATCGTGTGTATTTTATATCTCCCTGGAGTTTAGCTTTAAGTTAAAAAAAGGTAATTGAGAGTGCAATAATTATTTCTGTTAGAAGTATTACTGTTCAATACCCCATGTTCTAAATGTAAAATAATAACCCATGGGTTATCCCTACCACACTCCAACTATCCAGGATGAATTGTGTTATGTAATGATATGCCAATGTTGGTTTTATTTTATATAACTTGTACGTTGTAGCTCTGCCTTACCTAGCAACACACTCTCTGTGCCCCAGTAGACAGCTCGTCTCAAGGGATAGCTATGTTATTCATAGCCTTGTTACCACGTGTGTGGACTTTTTTTTTAATAAAACAATGCAACAAACAGTACTGATGTGTACAGAACAGATTCCCAAAAGAAACCAATGACAATTCAGTTTACTGGAGTAGAAAGATGACTGCTGTTTGCTTGTTATAAGCTACTGCACTTTGCTCTTCTTCTTAATAAAGAGTTGTTTGGAAAAACATTGAAACACTCTATCAAGATTGATGAGGCTTAGCATGGCAAAAGCACTACAGATGGTAGAGTAGTCTACTTGTATCATATTGGTTTAAGGGAGAAAGTCGGCACCTGTACACTTGCTCCACTACTGAGGACTGGTGAGTCCTGGAACTTAGAAACACCATTGTTGGGCTGTTGTTTTTTTTGGCTCATGCAATGAGCTGAGGCTTGGAAATGCTGTTCACTTTACTTTGAAAGGCATTGGTTTCAGAAAAATATTGGCTTCCATAGCTGACTGTATCTCTCAAGTGCTGTTCAAGCTTGGAAAATAATAGTTTTCTGGCAACAGCTAAAGAAAACCAAACAGCCATGAACAGTGGTAGTCTGGAAGAACCTGGGTGGACAACAGATTACAGTATACGGGGTTCACACCCGATGATCATCAGCAACAATGGAAGGGCAAGTGTAGAGGTTTCTCTACCTTCTTTCTGATGGTGGACAATCTATTTAACAACATGCAGTGTGAGCTTTACCACCCTTGCCATATTTCATATGGTATCATGGAGCAACAAGGTGCCCAAACCTTGCACTACCATTCTCAGGCAGGAACTTCACAAGCAGCTTTATTATGTTGTATCTGCAAAGCTGCCTACATTCCCTCTGATATGTGTTGTATATTATATTTGACTGCCCCAGTTTTTCCAGCTGTGCCCTTACTAATCCTTTTATGGCATTAACATTATCATTGGATGCAATTCAAGCCACAGCCTTTGGACAAACCTTCCAACTTTCCGAGATGAGAAAGAGGGACACCTCCCAGCACAATGTATTTAGGCAATGTACACACCCCCTGCCATGCCCTCAGATGCCAATTTATATGCCAAAAATTATGTGTTATCCCCAGAACTGTGTTTGTTTTTTTTTACGCCTTTACTTTATACAGGGTTTTCAAAATAGCAAACAAGAAGATTAACAGATAAGTAAGGTTTTAGTGTAGAATAACATCTTTGGTAGTTAAACAGTAAATTCCCATACACATCTACACATTAGCCCAAAAAGAGGGACAGAGTGATCTGGTTACAAATCAGGAACCCTTCAAATGAGGGACATTTGGTAGGTATGGCCTAGGGCTGTGCTCAAGGCAATCGGAATAGTCCCCCTTTAGCTGCTGCTCATTAAAACATATGAGCAAGGTCCCTCTGCGTGCACATGTCTTATTTGGCCAAGAGCAATGCAAGACATCTCATTAGAACCCGATAAGATCCTTTGCAACTGTTCCCTGCAAAACTGGCAACCACAGTCTAGTGCAGATAGGGCTTATATAGTCTCATATGCAGTAATGCAGCTATGCATTTTTTGTGTTATGGTGCCACTGTAAGTTCCTGTTATGTCTTTTTTTTGTACACCCCCTCCGTGGGCCCACGTTTCTTCTTTTAAGTCCCTGTCCAGCCTTCATAAGCAGTATGTATGTCCCTGTATTTATGTATAGGTGCCATAATAAGACAGGCATGGGCACATATAACAGGTGAAAAACACAATTTTGTTAAAACAGGGCCTACAGCTCAGGTATATCCATTCTAGCACACAATTCCCTTTAGGCCAGGTCTAGCTAAACTTCAGCCCTCCAGATGTAGGGTACTACAAGTTCCATAAGGTATTGCAAGACTCTGACAGCTACAGGCATGACTTCCAGAGGCAGATGCACCATGGGATTTGTAGTTTCACCACAGCTGGAGGGCCAAAGTTTGGTTACCCCTGCTTTATATAAATGCTAGAACTGTCCAGTTGTGAATCTAGGCTTCATTTAAAGTTCTCCTTTTTATCATCTTAATCACAAACAATGCAGCTGTGTATTAAGTAGTGTTGAATATGTAAATCTTAGACTATATATGCTTAATAAAAATTAATGCCTATCGCAAGTTTTTTTCTTTTAGTTTTGGATAGAGTAGGTAAGGGTTACATATTCTTCTATGGTAATATTGCTGTCTGAACCCCTCTTGTTGAAATTGGAAAATGGTTACCAACACATGCTGTTTAAGGCCAACAGCCTTTTAGTAGAGTTGGAAGAAATAGAAAATGCTCTCTGTGCCCAAACTGGGAAGATTTCATCACTTCCTGCCCTAGTAGATAGGTGACCACAGGAAAGGTGATGGGAAATCTAATCTATGCAGGGTCACAGATAGCATTACACACTTGACAGAGGCTCTCACATTTCCTTACTCTATCCAAAACTTAAAAAAAAGAAACAATAGAAGCTTTGGCTGGAGTTCTACTTTAAGATTTTCATACTATCACTATATCTATCACTATAACTAGCATTACAAAAAATTAAATACTCTTTTTTTTTTCTTCCCTTCAGAAGCTGAAGATATGGCTTATGTAAAAAGTGGATGGCTACTTCGACAAAGTAAGCGCATGATGCAGTTCTTCCTTTTACTGTAAACACAATAATAGTTAAAGTGTATGTCAAATATCAACATTCAGTCAAACCATGTTGCTAGCTCCGCCCAATTGTTTTTTTTTTTTAATAAAATCTTTATGAATTTTTTCATTTTAGCATTTATTGACATTGAAAAAAATAATTTTTTTAACCTTTTTTTTTTCTACTTATTTCACTATTTTCTAATCTGCTCTGTACCTCGAGGTACCGAGCAGAATAGCCTAGCCGAAAAGCACTCAGCGGCATTCGGCTATTCACTCACTGCCGTTCGGCCCCTATGTGAATAGTAGTGAGCGGCAGAGAGTGAGCTTCGGCTCAGCCGATCCAACAAAGTCCTTCTGCTCTGCATGTTCAGCTGACCGAAGTGCAGCCGATGTACAGCTGATGTATGGCTGAAATCAGCCGTACCAAGCCGGAGTGAATAGCCGAACGTAGTAGCCACAGTGCAGCATTTTCCCAACTTACTCTGTTCTTTATGAATTAACCTACTTTTAATACTGCCCATAATATTTGAAGAACGTGCAAGCAGAAGAAAAATACCCTAAGAAAATGTGATTTTGCCCCATTCTCACAATTGGTGGTTAACTTGCAGAGAAGAAATGTATATGCAGTATTATCGGCATTCGCTATGCCAGCTGGTGTAAAAAAGAAAATATATCATGCCCCTTTTCCATACAGTTATTCACCATTCATGCTTCACTTCTGTTACTTGGTTGGTACAGACAAAAGAAAGAAGAATATCCCCGAATTCCAGCCATGTCAGTATAGAAAGGAGTCTCTCTTCTTTTCTTTAAGACATCTGCATCTCTGTAGCCAGCCTAGGTATACGATAACAGCCTCCACAAATGGGCTTTTTGTCTAAGAAATATTGTCCAAAAATCTTTTGCAGACATCATTAGAAGCTTGGACTGTAGAAATTGAATAATTTGCCAGTGTTTTGTTGGATAGACAATTGTTTGGCATGCCGGTATGTTTTTCTTTCTAAAAATAGTTTTAAAAAGTTAAATGCATACAACACCCTTGAACGATTCCTGTTCTGGAAGTATAGATGCACTACAATGGCAGGGGGAGTCTGTTTACAGGTGTAAAGCCAACTGTGAAGCTACCCATTCACCTCCAGGGGCTATGACATGCACCCTCCCCTCCGCCCTGTTTCTTGTGCTCTGCTGCCCCTCCTGTGGACCCGGGATCGGCAACTACTCTTAATAGAACCCAACTACTCTCAATAGAACTGAGGACTCTACTTGGATGAATCAGCAAAATATCTTAAACATTACAGAACAGGTCATGTTGAATTTGACTACTAACTATACCATGACCAGGATAAATGAATTGAAAACCTTCACAGACATATTTTGTTAAAACATCAGTTTAATAATGTATAAACTAATCACTGTATGGAATTTTCCCCCAAGGCACAATTTTAAAAAGATGGAAGAAGAATTGGTTTGACCTTTGGACAAATGGATATTTGATATACTATAGTGAGCAAGAGAGAGAAGACATGGAAGACAAAATCCTTATGCAGCTCGACTGCATAGACATTCGTGTGGGCAATGCCTGCAAAGGTACAGAATATTTTATTTTGTTTTAATTTTCAAAAGCTAATCAGAAAGATGTTTTTTTTACACATGCATCAGTAATCCTCCTGGTGGACTTAATCAGACTCTCTAATCCTCGTGGTGAATGGTGTGGACAGCCTTCTGTATGCACTTGTGCCTGATGACAAGGAACAATGCTCCACACTCAGATACACAAGAAGTGTACACATAAGGTTCTAGACCTGTGATTACACTCAAACATGATAGTTAATATACACTGTGTGGTTTATTTTAATGCATCTTTTTCTGCTACAGATATACATTTGCCAGAAGGAAGGTCAAAGGACTGCTGCTTGCAGATTGTCTGCCATGAAGGAAAGGTCACAAACCTAATTGCCGAAAGCACAGATGACTGCTTGTATGTATATATTTATATATAAAGTATATATAAATGTTTTCAATATTGCAAATATCTGTTACCTCCCAACACAATGTTTCAACTTGTGCCATATAATATGTTTCTCCTTTAATGCTCCATACTTCACTTTTGACACTGTTATCATTATCTGCTTGCAAAAGCATACACACTTGCCAAATTGTTTACTGACAGTTACGATTTATGCTCTTTAAAGTTTATTAAAAATGTATCATTTTACACACACACATAAATGTATATATACACTGAGTGGCCAGATTATTATGACCACCCCATCAGTACTTCGTTGGGCCACAAGATGACTCCAAGAGATAACTTTGTTGGGCCGCCTCGTGACTTCACGAGATGTTGAAAGGTGATGCAAAGAATCTGACACTGCACTGTTGCCCTTCGGTTGTCTTGTACCAGTCTTGCCACACTCCGTTCTGCCCTAAGGTCTCGTTCACACCTAGGCGTATTGCATATGCGCGTCTGTCGCGCGGTTTTTAACCGCGATTCGCGGTAAAAAAGTTGCGCGACAAACGCGCGTTTCCGAAGGCCTCTTGGCTGTATCCCAATGGAAACGCGCAACAAAACGGCCCAAAGTAGTACATGTACCTTTTCAGGCGTGGGCCGTTTTGTAGCGCGTTAGGGACGGGCGGAAATACGCCAAGGTGGGAACGAGACCATTGAATACAATGGGATTTATATTTTTGAGCGTTTTGTAGAGCGTTCGTCGAGCGTAGAACGCGCTAAAAAACGTTCAGGTGTGAACGAGGGCTAACATTGACTAGTCGCTGATGGCCACAATTCGCATGTTCAGACCCAGATTTTCGGCTGACAGATGACCAGATCATAAAGTAGCTTTATTTCTCCTCTATATTGCAGAAAAATTGAGGAATTGTATCTCTCTATCAGGGGTTTGTTTAATATATTTGTAACATAATAGATGTGTGAATTTTGGTTTTCAGAGCCTGGGAAACAGCTCTTCGGGATGCCAGAACAAAAACAGTATGTACTATATATATATATGTGTATCACATAGAATTTATTCAGGGTCAATATTGGAATGGCTCTTTGATATCTGAATTCATCAATTATTTTTCTTTCTTTGGTAGACTAAATTTTAAACTGTATTCTTACCTATTATTAGGAATGATATGAGTAAAACAGGCTATTTTTGATAATGCAATCAAAGCTTACTTAGAAAAAAATCCCTTTTATGTAGTGAGTGCTGCCTTCCATCTTCCCATCATTTTCAACAACTTTTTGGATTCTCTGTGTGCTTTGTATCTCTTTCCCTGCTGCTTGATATGATGCAATCGCCATTTTGCAAGACTACATATCCCATCATGCATTGCTTCCAGCAAGCAATGATAATGTTACATTGCTCAGATGTTGAGTTATAGTTCAGAAGGGAGGCTGAATATTCAAAGGGCTGAGTGGAATTGTGTCAGTACATTGAGGAAGTACATCCTACGGGGACCTTCAATAAGTAAGTTACAAAACTTCTAGATGGATCTGGTTATAGGAGTTGGATAGAAGTTATATAGACTCAATAAAGAAATATGTATTTATTTTTTGTTTTTGACCATAGATACCCTTTACAAACTATTAAACACCCAGAACACTTTAAACAATTATTTCACCCTGAGATTTCAGCACTGAAATATACATGCTACGTGGAAGCAGACCTGTGTGTGTGACGAAAGTGCCATTTTCGGCCGGCGCCCCCCCCTTCACTTTTCGCCCGGGGCCCGCGCCCCTGCTGCACCCCGGTTGGTAGGCCACTGTGTGTGTTTGAGAGTGTTTATAGAATATATACATTTGCATGTCTTGTCTAGCACTGATTTAATAATGCATACCATCTGCATAATCTCTATGAAGATTTCAAACTAACTAAGTGCTGTAGCTATATTCCAATGTATTTAAAAATGCATTTAATTTCATTAAAAGGTAATTACATGGTACACAAACTCACATTTACATAAATGTAGTTGTGATTATATCTTGAATATATGATACAACTGGGATTCTCAAAGTATAATTAAAGGCAAAAGGTTTTTATTGCTGTATGTGTCCCAGTTAAGGTGCCCATACACCTTACGACCATCGCAAGACTTTTGTCTTGCGATGGTCGTAAGCTTATTAAAAGCTTGTATGATCTGCCCATCCTGGACGGGCAGATCGTACTTGCGATCATCGAAAGCCCGCCCCGCTGAGGGGCGGGCTTCCGATGACCGCAGTGAGGGGCGGGCTTCGGATCACTGCAAACGGGCAGTGTGCCGTTCGGCAGTTGTCGAACAAGGAGGCCACTAACCCGCCGAGAATCGTACGACTCTCGGCGGGTTTTCAAGCCTGCTTGTTCGACGGAAGACGTGTGACCGTACAGTAGAAACGGTGCACGCCTTCCATACACTGTGCGAGTATCGCACGGTCGCTGGTTTTCCCCCCGATTCTCGTACGATAATCGTACAGTGTATGGGCACCTTTAGGGAGATTCACTCTTTCTAATTGTCCTGATTAGGAACAATTAGTAACCTGGTCCACACCTCCTTGGAACAAGAAAGTGCCATCTGCACTTCCAACCCATTAACCGCATCAGGGACTTTTCCCACACGACAGCTGCATGTTAACAAAGCGGCCAGATGCTTGTGCTGACGTCATTTACCTATTATGGCTACATAGCCATGTAAGGTAAATGTAATGTACTAAATATAATCATGTAGTCATATAAGGTCAATGACATCAGTACATCCAGCTACTTTGCATACGTCAAATTGTGAGTAGGGAATTCCCCAGCCAGAATCTCATTGGGTGGCACAGAAGGAGCTTTTTTCCATGTTCAGGAGGGGCTTCTTCCAGGTTCGATGGAGCTCAGGTTAAGGCTGGGTTCAGTCCAAACCTGAGCCCACTCCTGGTCCTGATCACCAATTTTCTTGGGGGCAAAATTAATCATTAATTGTTTTAGCAATAGTTTCTTTTGTAGTTACTTTCACTTTTCATTCATAGAATATTCTGCCTGCACCACTGCTATATGATGAAGGAATACTCGGTCCTGCTCCGCCCTATACTCAGTTTGATGCTCCTCCTGTAAGTGTCTAAATATTTTTAACATACACCTCTCTTATTGTTCCTTTTTTAAGGTGCTGCTAAGTAATCCGTCTAATCATTCTTGAAAGTGAGATAGAACTGCAACTGGAAAAAATTGTACAAATAACTAAAGCTCGCTGCACACATTACAATCTGATTGTATGGGCTCATTCACACCAGTTGCGGTGACTGGCATTTTCCTTCACTGGATTGATGCACTGCAATGGCACACAGAAAACAATTGTTTTCTACAGTATGTGCCCTGTTCACACTGCAACATGGGTGTGAAGTGCGGTGTCGAAAAATGCAGACATGCTCTTCTTTTTTTACAGCTGGAAACTTCAAGGCCAAAAATGTAAAGTAATTGTAGTTAGCATTTGTAAAGATAAAATACAATTTAAATGCAGTAATATATTGAAATATGAGAGTAAAATGAAAGACCCTTAACATCATTATTTTCTCATTGTTAGCCTTATGGATACGATCAATATCCTGGTACTTATCCAGTTCAGGGATCACAGATTATCTATACCAGAGATGGACAAGCTTATACCTCGTATCAATACCTAGCACAAGGTGAGAATGTATGCAATTTAATTATATATATATATATATATATATATACACACACAGTAAACTCCCTGTTATCCGGCATTCTGAGGGATTGGTAGATTCCAGATAAATGTAATTTCTGGTTGCTTGAGAGTCACTATTTAAAATAGGTCTAACTAATGCCATACCCCAGGTAGAACAGAAATATGAACAATTATAAAATACTTTATTATTTCATAATAAAGTAATTATAAAATAATTTCTTTGTGTTTATTTGATTCCTATTCAAGAGAATTACTTTATATATAGTCAATATAGGCACAGAGGTAAAAAAAATTAACATTTTCTAATGGTGGTGTGCCTCGTGATTTTTTTCATGAAAAAAGTGTGCCTTTGCACAAAAAAGGTTGAAAAACACTGGTCTAGGAAATGGCCTGGAGGGCCGGATTGGGCCCCTGGGCCTTGAGTTTGACACATGTGCCATACCCCATACTATACCATATTATAACATAAACTCTGTATTGACTTCATATTAACACTGAAAGAGCAGCACAGTGGCATAGTGGTTAGTGCTTCTGCCTTGTAGTACTGGGGGTCCTCGGTTTGCATCCTGCCCAGGTCACAATCTACTAGAAGTTTGCATGTTCTCCCTGTGCTTGCATATGTTTCCTCTGGGTTCTTCGGTTTCCTACCACACTCCAAAGACATGCTGGAAGGTTAATTGGATCCTGTCTAAATTGGCCCTCATATGTATGTATGTGAGGTAGGGACCTTAGATTGTAAGCTCCTTGAGGGCAGTGTCTGATGGTAATGTGCATCTATGTAAATCGCTGTGTAAATTGTCAGTGATATATAAATAATAATAATTAATTGAAATGCAGTAATCAAAAGCAAATTAAGACAAATAGACAGACTTTAGACAAATAGACACACAATCATTCCCAGGATAATACATGCCATAGACCAGCAAAACAATAAGTACGCAGGGGATTTTTTTTTTCTGCTTAGATAAGAGTTTTGGTTAGTTGAGAGCTTACTGTATATATACAGTATATATTATACATTTTTGTGTAATTCTGCACAACAGTGATATTTTATTTGTAGTATTTTTAGAGTTTGGTGGACTGAATGACCAGCTGGCTCCTAGTATGGCTAGCGGACATCAGCTTTGAGATCTCCCCTTCATAGATCCAAGCTCTGTGCCTGACCATCCTGAGGTTTCGGGTGTAATGGCTGATACAGGTGTGCAGCACTCGTAACTAAAGAGACACATAGAAACTGATCCTTCACAATAATCCATTCAAATGAGTTTTGTAGTCTGGCATTCTGAGCTTCTTTGTTTAAATGCTAATTGCAAAGTCATCTTTAACCTTAATACTTTGAGTCACTGACTAAAATCAGAACTCTGGAACTCCATGCCTATTCAAGGTCAGTGGCTCAAATGATCACAGTAATTTAATCAGCAGACAGGCCAATAGATGTCAATATTGGTAGTCTACATAATTCTTTGAATACTAGTTTCCTTTAATGTAATATTTGTCTGTAAAGAAGATGTGAAGGCCACCACATGCAAGTTCCCTTGAAAATTGCACCCTTTTTGCTTGTGATACTTTTAGTATACCTGATTTCTTTGTCTGTCATGTTCACACAAATTTAATTTATTAATCGGACACAATTATAAAATTAAAACTTGATAAAATAAAGCAATCCTGAAATTGCAGCTGTTGCCCATAGCAAACAACCACAATTCTTGCTTAATTTTCCTTAAAAAAAAGGTAAAGCCTTATTGGTTGCTGTTAACACCAACTCCACTCCACCAACTTTTATGAGAATAGACAATCTGATGAAACTGATTGTTTGTTTGAACTTTGACTTTATTTCTTTTTTTTTTTGTGCAGGTCCTCGTA